TAAATCAAAAAAAAGTTATGCAGCCAAGATTTAGACTAAGGCCTTTGTAAACTGCAAAACTGCCACAGAGCAGATGCTGGATGACTGCGGTAGTTTGGTTTCTACATAATTGAGAGCAATAAAAAAACTTATCAAGGAATAAGCACAAACTATAAGCTGGAAAATAACATTGTCACACAGTATTTCCTCTTAACTTGGTGACCAGAGGCAAAGAGCTTTTAACTTGGAAACTCTTATGATAAATAGACTGAGGAAGTCCAAGGCACAGTTCGCATCAGGAGTCATGAGATGCACACTGACTGGCTGGACAGAGCTGATACAAGAACTTAAGCACACCAGAGTCATCTGTACCAAGCTATCTAAGTATTTGACATGCTTTAGATAGAAAAGGCAAATCTCCAAGAATATTTCTAGAGTGAAGATTAAGCATATTCAGAGGAAATATTCATATACAAAGAAAGCCAGAATAAAAATGAAACCTGAGAAAAAAGGAGAAATTTAAGTCAAAAGGTTTATCATGAAAGGATACTTTCTCATTACAAAGCAAAAAATGAACATCAAGAAGCTATTTTTCAGAAAAACACAAATGTGTGAGCTCAGGAAAAATTTTTATCTCCTGAAGAAAAAGCACCATCTTATATTTCAAAGTAAAACACAAAGAACTCATGGGTATTATAAAAGGCTTGCTTTTGGGCCACCAACCAGCTCCCAAATCGTGTATTATTAATTATGAATGTGCAGCCTTATCTTATGCTCATTTCTAGTTAGATCTTGTTTCTCTTCATCTAAGTTTCGCCTCAGGGCTTTTTACCTTTGTTGCATTCTGTATGTCCTAGCTGTACCTGGCTGGCTAGCAGCTGCCTGGCTAAATTTAAGCAAAGTCTGCCAAAATTGAACACAAAATATTCTATACCTCAGATAAAGGGGGTACGTGTGAGACTGGGTTTGTAGCTAATCAAACTAGCAAATGAGTTCAAGTTGAGGAAAAACCCATGACAGCTATCACTGGTGGGAAAGAACTAATGCTTACTATAATTGCTGATTAGCTAGACAAGTAGATCATAAGATAACTAGGGGCTCGTAATGTTACTCAGTAGTAGAACTCTCTCTTTTTTTTCCTAGATAGGTTTTTCTGTGTAGCCCTGGTTGTCCTGGAACTTGCTCTGTAGACCAGGCTGGCCTCAAACTCACAGAGATCTGCCTGCCTCTGCCTCTCGAGTACTGGGATTAAAGGCATGAGACACCACCACCCGGCTAGAGGTAGAACTCTTGCCTAGGATATATGAAGTCGAGGACTTGATTCCTTGGAACTGCAAAAATAATTAACAAGATAAAACTACGTTAAAATTGTTTGAAGCAGTCCAAATACACGTCCACAACACGATATTCACTCCTTTTTCTACACTGTTTTCTTTGCATGTGTATGCAGCTAATAAAAATTTTATTAGGAGGGACTGGAGTAGTGGCTCAGCAGTTGAGAGCATTGGTTGCTCTTACATCAGACCAAGGTCCAATTCCCAGGGCCCACACAGTGGCATGTTATTGCTGCCTATAACTCCGGTCCTCGGGGATCTCCATGGGCACCAAGAATATACCTGGTATACAGACACACATATAAACAAAACACTTCATACACATAAAATAAATCCTAAAAAATTTTATTATGAAGTCTATATAAATGTTATTTGTAAGGTAGGGTTTGTAAAATGGATCAGTGGTAAAAGCAATTGCTACTAAGCCTTATAACCTGAGTTTGATTTCCAAAACCCACATGTTGGGAAATGAATGGATTCCTGCAAGTTGTCCTCTGACCTCCACATGTACACTATAAACTTATGGGTGCATGTGCACGTGCACACACACACACACACACATACACACACACATAACCAAATATGAAGAAAAATTTATAAGGTAAACTGAAACAAAAAGAATCAACTACAGAGCTTAGAATGAGTGGTAGAGTGACCATCTAATATGCATACAACATTAGGCTCTATCCCTAGCACTAGAAGAAACAAAAAGCAAGTGTATAGTATAGCCATGTAAAACTGAATTTACTTAAGCCAGGTAGTAGTGGCATACACCTTTAATCCCAGCACTCAGGAGGCAGAGGCAGGCGGATCTCTGTGAGTTCAAGTCCAGCCTAGTATATAGAGTGAGTTCCAGGACAGGCTCCAAAGATACAGAGAAACTCTGTCTTGAAAAAACAAATATATATTTGGATAACATATATATTATATATTTTATATATTTATAATATATAAATATTATATATTACAATATATTCTAAGTATATATATATTATCCAATGTCTATAAGAGGCTATGGAAAATAAGTTGTTGCAACTGTGGGTTGTTTTAGTTGAACTTTAAACTATGTTTGTGCAGTGAATAAAAACCAAGAGCATCATTACACTTACTACACGAAGGTCCTCAATGCGTTTCTCAAGGAGCACAGGTAGGCCATCTGGAAGTGTAGGTACCACCTTGGGTAGAACCTGAGAGGTTAAGGTGGGTTGAGTGGTGTTTCCATTTTCTCCCCCTGACTCAGAGAGCGGGCTACCATCAGAAGCAGCATCCAGTAATCTGTCAAAGTCAAAGTCGTCTAGCATCTCGAGGGCATTCTCAGCTTCCTGAAACAATTCATGTTCATTTGTGCTAACAAAAATAGGGAGGTCTGGATCAGCACTGTTCAGACCTAAGTCCGAGATGTCATCCCCCAGGGCTGCAGCAGCACAAGAGGGCTTGGTCAGAGAGGAAGTGGTTAGGGTCACAGGGACTTTAGGGTTAGATTCCTTCTTTAATGCATCTTTCTCTTTTTGAAATTTTCTTATCATGGCAGCCAAAGAAAGGGAATCTTTATATCGCTTCTTCTTTTTTTCAGACTTGTGTGAATTGAGAGCCACAACTCTGTAAAGGAAAAAGACTGGTTAGGCTGTGTCATTTAAAAAGTTAATCCCATATGTCAATGAATAAAATAATTAAAATAATCCAGTGAGAGATGGCACAACAAAATCGTCTTTATAGTTTTGTATTAGATTACACTTGCATGATAGCACCGTCTCCAACATCTTCTGGATATGTGACAGGTTTCACACAGCCTATGCTGGCCTCAACCCTTACATACATAGTTCAGGATGACCTTCAACTACTGCTTCAACCTCCCAAGTCCTAGAAATACACATTTGTGCCACCTTGTTTGGCTTAAACTGGTTCTTCAAGATTAAAAAATTGTAATAAACAAGATAGCCAATGAAAAATCTGTAAGTGTAACTAAAACACTAAGTCTCTAAGATGACAAAGTCTCCTGTTTATTAATAGTACCACAATATTATTAAAATGCAGTAGGTCATTATCAAATTAAACAACTAAATACATTAGTGGTAAATATATATTTCTAAAAGGAAACCATAATATTGTGATGCTAATTTCCTATTAGGCTTCATTTAGCATACCCCATTTGTTTGGGCACTTTTTTCCTTGGCTTCTTCTCTTTTTCCCCTTCCTCTTTCCGCTTCCGCTTCTTTACCTCAATATCATCATCTTTTATTTTGGGAACCTGCAACATGATAAGAGAATATGTCATTTATTCGGATTTTTCCTCTTTGATGTTAGCAATAGAGTACAAGGCAGTGGTCTTTTACAGTGTCTGTTAGAATTACTTGGTCAAAGTCTAAGATCTTGGGGATCCATGTTTTCGTTGCTACTGTTGTATATGTTTAAGTGTGTGAGCACTGATGCCTGTGAAGCCAAAGGGAGAACATGGGTATCTTCTTCACTGTTCTCTATCTTATTTCAAACAGGATTCTCATTGCACATGGAGCTCACCAATTCAGCTAGACTGGTTAGTGGGCAAACCCAGATATCCTTCTGTCTGTGCCTCTTCAGCGTTTGAACTGCAGATGAGTGCCACCATGCTAGGCTTTAAATAGGCACTGGGAATCCAAATTTGGGGAGATGAGTTGAGCCATATCACCAGTCTCTCAACTGTGACTTTGATTCAGCTCACTGGGGCCTTAGAGTTTACAGTTTAAATAAGAATTTTAATTATTCTGGTACAAATAAAGTCTCTGACCCCACAGCAGGAAACACCTATGAACTATATTCATTTCTCAGCTATAGTACAACAACATAAGTCATTACAAATTAAATCTGAGGAAAGTTAAAGGCTATGAAAGGTTCTTCTATTGAAAATCCTACTTTCTTGTTTGTTTGCTTGTTTTGTTGTCTTAAGTTACAGAGGCAAGTGGCTATGCAGTCCAGGCTGACCTTGAACTCACTAAGATCCCCTTGCTTCTGCTTCTCAAATGCTGCAATTAAAGACTGTGTGTGTCTGTTTTTAAATAGTGTAGTGATCAATTCCAGGGCCTTGTACATAGGAAGTAAGCACTCTACCATTAAGCCATAGCCCCTTCCCACACCAACATAACTTTAAACATATAATTAAACAATAGTATTTTACTTTTCCTTATGTCCACAGTTGTGGCACAAATAATATTCAAAATATCTAACCTGAGGCCAAGTGTGGTGGTACATGCCTTTAATTCCAGCCTTTAATTAAGGCAGAGAAGCAGGTAATCTCTGTTAGTTTAAGGCCAGCTGTGTAATGATATTTCATTTGTATTTTAATAAATAGGGCTTGCCTGAAGACTAGAATGCAAAACAGCCACACTAGTCAGCCATATAGGCCAGGCAGTGGCACACCTCTAATCTGAGCAGTCACACTAGTTAGTCATAGAGGTTGGTGTTGCAAGCCTTTTACTCCTAGCACTAGAGAGGAGTATAAGGATGGATGGGACGGGAACTCACTCTCTTTCAGTCTGAAGATTTCATAGAGGTTAAGAGCTCTCTAGTGTCTAGTGTTTTGGCTGCTTTGCTTTGCTGATCTTCAAATTGAACCCCAATATCTGTTTCTGGGTTTTTATTATTTGTGCTACAATCTTGATTTATACAGTGAGTTCCAAGACAGTCAGGGATAAAAAAGGGAGGGGGGATCTTTTTGGGGCCAACAAAATGGTTCAACAGGTAAAACTGCTTGCCATGCAAACCTGACGGCTTGAGTATAATCCCTAGAGCTCACGGTGGAAGGAGAAATCCAATTCTCAAAAGTATGGCATACATCTGCCCATACTCACACATACTCATCATATATACACATATAATAATAATGAAAAAGGAATAATCAAAAAATATCCTGGTCTGGTGGTGTAACTTAGAAGAATAATGCTTATTTAGCATATAAGAACTCCCAGGCTCAAATTTTAGCATAGCAAAAATATAAACAAAATAAAACAAAAAGTATATAATATTAATTCTATGTTCTCCTTACTGATGAGATGTCAAACTCACCTTGGGTGGCTTGTGCTTTTGGTTATCTGTAATATCATCTTCTTCAGTATCTGATGTTTGGCGAAACTGAAGAGTGCCAGTGTTGATATAGAAGCCTCCATATTTTGTTGTTAGAGAAGCAGGGACTAATTCGTCATACTAGAGCAAAAAAAGTTTCAAATATATTCTCTTGTCTATAATTATAAAAACATGTCAAAGAATAGCATTTACTGACAATTTCCTTAAATACTAACTGCAAATGCAGCAATCCCACTACTGGGCACACTCCCAAAGACATGAAATCAGTATGCCAAAAAAATGTGACGCTTCTGTGCTTACAGCAGCATCATTTGCAAAAGCCAAAACACCAAGCAACCTAAGTGTCCATCAGTAAATGAATATTAAAATGTGGTATATTTATATAACAAAACATTATTTGGCATTGTAAAAGAAAGTCAGAGCTGGGCATGGTGGCATATGCCTTTAATCCCACCACTAGGGAGGTGGAGGTAGATGGATTCTCTGAGTTCAAGGTCAGCCAGGTTTATATAGTGAGTTCCAGGACAACTAGAGCTAGAGAGCAAGACCCTGTCTTAAAGAATAAGGCCAGAAAATACTGCCACTTGCAATATGTAAAGAAATGAACCAGCACAGAGAGATCAGTATCACACACTATCCTTTGTATATGGACTCTAAATATGTTCAGTTCAAAAAGGTACAGAGTACAATGTTAGAGAGTAGAGGTTTGGGATGAGGGCAGAAAGGAATGAAGGAGATACTTGTCAATGATCTTTGTATTTCAAAATAGCTAGAAGGAGGTTTTTAATTTTTCTTACACGGAGAAACTCCATCTTGAAAAAACTAAAAAAAAAAAAAAATTGTTTGTTTTTGGTTTTTCCAGATGGGGTTTCTCTGTAGCTTTGGACCTGTCCTGGAACTAGCTCTCGTAGACCAGGCTGGTCTCGAACTCATAGAGATCTGCCTGCCTCTGCCTCCTGAGTACTGGGATTAAAGGTTTATGCTACTTCCGCCCAGCTTTGTTTGTTTTTTTCAAGGAGAGGGGCAGTCCTGGAACTTACTCTGTACACCAGGTTGGCCTTGAAATTTGTACAGAAAACTGGGTGACACTAAAGTATGTTTTCTCAATCAAATGTCAAATTAGGAACTTATATAAACCTAGAACCTAGGACTTCCACTCAGAGTTCCAAATAACAGTCAATATTCTAGACAGAAAATCCCAGTCTTAATTTACCAATTGCTTACAGTTTTAGTAAAGGCAACGCCTCTCTACTCTAAAGGACACTGCTAATATGACTTGCTAAGATACCGCAAGTGAACATGATGTACAGTGTGCATCATGTTGACAATCATTCCAATCACTCTCTTACCAGTTTAAACTATCAGTTACCATCTATGCAACCAAGTACTGACTGTATCACCATGTGAAACCTATACTAATTTGCGAATCATGAAATTTTAACTAGTATTTTCTGAATACCCCAAGTAATCACTGCACACTGCACAAGTTATCATAATCCTAGAGTCATGTGGGAATCCCTTCTGTGTGCTGTGATTACCATTAATGATAAAGAAACTGCTTTGGTCCTATAGCAAGGCAGAACTTAGGTAGGCAGGGAAAGCTAGGCTAAATGCTGGGAGGAAGAAGGGTGGAGCTAGAGAGACACCATGGAGCCCCTGCCAGACTCAGACATGCGAAACTTTGCTCGTAAGCCAATGTCATGTGGCGATACAGAGATTAATGGAGATGGGTTAAATTAATATGTAAGAGTTAGCCAATAAGAAGCTAGAGCTAATGGGCCAAACAGTGATTTAAATAATACAGTTTCTGTGTTTTTATTCCGGGGCTAAGTGGCTGGGAACCAACAAGCGGCCTCCTGCTACACTAGAGGCTATCATAATCCTAGGCATTAGAGTAATCTAATATCCAGATAAAAATGGAAGAACATAGACCTTACCAACATGACAAGCCTTAATTCATGTGCTACAAGACAGAGTAATAATAATTCTTATATAGTGTCCTAAATTCATCTTCTTTTTATAAGAGAAAATAGATGCTAGAGCCAAAGTTACAAAATTTGATCAAAACATACTGGTGATAAAGGCTGTTGCTTAAGATACCACCATTGTAGTAAGGTATGCAACAATAACAAACTAAGTCTGTCTTCTAGGGATCTGCCAAAAAGACTACCTGGTTTCAAAATATACCTCCCAAAAAAGAAATTCAGTATGTGCCCATTACTAACAAATTCTATAGCTAGCAATCTGCCTCAACCATATATTTAAACTCTATAAAATACCTAAATATACATTAGGTAGATGAATGCAACCGAAGACGATCAACCACCACTACCTGCAAACACATATCCCTGAGAATTAAAATTACATTAATTAAAATCAGTTAAATAAGTACACATTAAAATCAGCATACCTATGTGCTAATGTATAAATACCATAAAAATGTTGAATTTCAATAAAGAATATTTAAAATACATAGTATTTATTTATTTTTTTTTTTACAAAGATATACATGTTGAATGTTTATTAGATACAGAATTTCTTGACTACAAAACTTACTTTCTGATGGATGACATTTGGGGAATATTTTACCTTGTACTTCATAATGATCTTGTGTTTTATTGCTGAGTTATAAGCATAACTGATTTGTTTATGTACTGTATGTTGTATATGTGTGTACGAGGGTGCACTCGCCTCTGCATGAGTGTATGGAGGCCGGAGGTCTATGTCAGGAATCTTCTTCAGTCTCTCTTCCTCATTTTTTTAAGACAGGGTCTCTCACTGAACCTGGAACTCACTAATTTGTTCAGACTGGCTGATTGGTGAGTCCCTGAATTTGCCTACCCAGTGCTGTGCAATGCAGTGCCTAGCTTTTATGTGGGTGCTGGAGATCCAGATTCAAGTTCTCATGCTTGCATGGGAGGCCCTTTTTCAACTGAAACATTTCCATAAATAATTCTTTTAAAAGCTAGAAAAATAAAACCAAAGAAATCCCAATAACAAAAAATTTCCTGTTTAAGTCTTATATCCAGAAATGCTAATTCAATAAATCGTAGTTAGGACAAGTATATCAGGGGGCTGGAGAAATGACTCACTGGTTAAAAACACATATTGTTGCCGGGCAGTGGTGGCGCATGCCTTTAATCCCAGCACTCGGGAGGCAGAGGCAGGCGGATCTCTGTGAGTTTGAGACCAGCCTGGTCTACAAGAGCTAGTTCCAGGACAGGCTCCAAAACCACAGAGAAACCCTGTCTCGAAAAATCAAAAACAAACAAACAAACACATATTGTTCTTAGAAAAAACCCAAATTCAATCCATGGCACCCACATCAGGCAGCTCATAACTTTCTAGAACTCCAGTTTCAAAAAGCTCACACCTCACTGATCTCCTTGAGCACATACACACATATAAATAATAAAAATTTTTAAAAGTTAAGACAAGCATATCAATATTTTCCATCCTTGACTAAACTTAATGTAATTATTTTCAGCATTTGGTTAGAACTCTATTCCTTTTCCCATATATGTACTTATATGTGTATTAGTGACTGTACTCATGCGTGAGAAAGTGCAGGTACTTGTGTCAGTGATGTACTTATGTGTGTCTATTGACAATGTGTGCATTTGTGCTCATGGTTTTTGTTTAGCTTTCTTTTTCTTTTTTTTTTTTTTAAGTCAGTGTTTCTCTTTGTAGCCCTGGCTATCCTGTAACTCACTCTGTAGACCAGATTGGCCTTGAACTCAGAGATTTGCTTGCCTCTGCCTCCTGAACGTGGTAATTAAAGGTGTGTGCCACCACTGCCCAGCAGTGTGCTCGTGTTCATAAACAGGGTCCCATATATCAAACAGGTCCCAGAATGCCCTCAATTTGCTATGTACTCAAGAATGATCTTGAGCTTCTGATTTCTCTGTGTCTACTTTACCACACTGGGACTGCAGTGTACAACACTATGCTTTTATCCTTTTTAAAACTCTACTTCTTGCTGGGTGACAGTGGCTCACGCTTTTAATCCCAGCACTCAGGAGGCAGAGGAGGTGGATCTCTGTGAATTACAGGACAGCCAGGACTATACAGAGAAACCCAAACTAGAAAAACCAAACCAACCAAACAAACAAAAATTATTTCTCAGTTTGGGCAAGGAACAATGATTTCCCCAGGAATTAATGCTAACTATGCACCTGAAAATAAGCAACTATTAGTCTCAAAGATTCTCACAGGACCTGAAAACACAGAAGCTACATGTAATGGTCTACTACTTTATTGGCAAATCAGAACTTGCTGGCCTAGCTCAGCCTAACAGTTTTGTTACCCCAACTGCCAGAATTGAATTCTGCATTTTTTAAGTGGTAGGAAAAACATCAGATTAAGTATTTTATCATGCATGAAAATTACATGAGTTTAAATTTCACAGTCTATCAGTAAAGTTTACTTTTAACACTGCCACATTAATTCACTTATATAGTCTCTATGACTGTTCACATGCCACAGTAGAAAAATAGCTGTAACAGATACCAGATGGCCACAGTCTAAAATATTTACCACATGGTCCTTTAGAGATAGTTTGCCAAAACCTGGCCTATGATAGCAATATACTAACAACTTACCATGAACAAGTCAACATTAAAAAATGTAAATCTATAGTATTTTTTTAAAAAAAACTTCAAGCTATAAAAACAGCTTTAAAAGGCACAAATAAAAATATGTTGAAATATTTTAAGTTACTTTGTCTTGACTTCTACTGCCAAGAGCTTACTGCTATATTAAAGATATACTACTCACAGCCTCTGAGTTATCAATAAATGGATCTGTTTCATCATAGCCAAAGCCTATATCAATTAAATCTTGTAGCCGATCCTTCCGGTGTTTACGGGCTTTCCCACCCTGCAAAGAAGAAATAGATACATCAGATTTATTCAATACCTGTACTCTTTCCATAAATTTAAGAAAAGACCTAGTAGAAGAATTCACATTAATTTTAGTAGAGAAACCTTCTGTAGGCAACAGGGTCTCCCCACACCTTGCATGCATATTGCACTTAATGACTACTTCCTTGGAGTACAACAAGCCAGACAAAGTGGTTATATGATGGGAAATCCACTTCCTCAACCACACAGTCAGCAATAACAATGGTAAAACAAATAGATGGCATCTATCTTTGACACAATGAAAATTACCTTCCAACTCTGTAGTCTTCCTTTCAAAAACCTGTAACCCCTTTTCAGTCATGAGGCTACAAAATAAGTGATCAGTGTTCTTCAAAGTCATCATGATTACGAAAGCCAAAGAATATATTAAAAACCAGTCACTCTTGCTGGGCACAGAGGCACACGCCTTTAATCCACATATTTGGGAGGCAGATTCAGATGGATCTCTGTGAGTTCAAGGCAGCCTGGTCTATATAGTGAGTTCTAAGACAGATAGAGCAACCCTGTATCCAAAAAAGTAAAGAAAAACAGCTAATCTAGATAAGCCTAAGGAGAGAACTCATTCTCAGAGTAATCCTCTGACCTCTGCACTTGCCACCTGCTTGTGAAGGTGGCTCATGTGCAGACACTAAATAAAAACTAATTCTTTAAAAATAATTTTTTTATCTTACATGTATGACTGTCTTGCCTGCTTATACGTATGTGCATAAGTTCATGCTTGGTTTCCTGCAGAAATCGAAGAGAACACTGGATTTCCTGAAATTGGAGTTAATTATGCGTGCTAAGATACCCTAACCTGCATTCTCTGTAAGATCAACAAGGGATCTTAACTAACCACTAAGCCATGTCTCTCCAGCCCTCTTTTTAAGACTTCTTTTTTGTTTTTATGTATGTTTGCCTGTGTGTGAATATGTGTGTGTGTATGTATGTATGTACGTATGTATGTATGTGCAAGTGCCCTCAGAAGCCAGAAGAGGGCATTAGATCCTCTGGAACTGGTATTACAGAGTTGTGAGCTCCCTGATGCAGATGCTGGGAACCAAATTCAGATGCTCTGCAAGAGCACTTATATGCTCTTAGCCACTGAGCCAACTCTCTAGTTCCCAAAAATTACTCTTAAAGTTATATCTAAATGTTATATAATTACACACATAAGTACATACAGGAATATGAAAAACAAGCATGTACAGGAACTGGTAATTCAGATCAAGATCTGTTGTCTAGCCTATTCTCAAGTGTGCTGTGCCAAGACCTACTCTTCAGCTTTGATGATGGCAGTTATGTGAATATCTAGTTGGGTGATGAGCATAAGAGTTTCTTCTACTGTACTTGAAACTTGTGAACCTATAATTATATTTAAATGAAATATTTCTAGACCAAAACAAACCAGTTCTTGGAGATGGCATTATTCAAGTTATACTTTACTTTGACCCCGGCTCATCACAGCATAAAGAGTTCATTATACCTCAATACAAAATGTTACTTGGACTCAAAGTTCCATATAAGCTTGGGATAAGTATTTTCAACAGGAAGCAGGCTTCCTCTGGTACCATGAACAAAAGTATGTAAGTGCTGTTTCCAAGCCTCATTTTGGATATTCACATTTACAGATTTAAATCCAACTATGATTTTTAAGCATCCCTGCACCATCTCCCCATCCTGTTTCTCTTTGTAGTCAGGGATAGAGGAAAGGAATGCACGAAAAGGAAGAAGAGCAAGATGAAACTGCTGACAAGGGCCTACACATGTTCCTTCTAAGCCACAGTGGGCTTTACAGAAAGGATGATAGGAATATGTTCTCACAGTGTGGACTTCAATGCAAATTAAATGCTTAAAAATTGATACATTTTTTTAAAAATTTATTTATATAGTGTTCTACCTACATGCCTACATACCAGAAGAGGGCACTATACCTCATTATAGATGGCCGTGAGCCACCACGTGGTTGTTGGAAACTGACGACCTCTGGAAGAGCAGTCAGCGCTCTTAACCTCTGAGCTATCAACCCAGACCCAAGATTAATATATTTAATGCAATGTATCTTTAATAAAAACTAAATGCAAAAAAAAAAAAAGGTGCTTGAGGGAGAAAAGGGCTACATTGGAATAATGAGCAATGCCTCTAAGGCAATGCACTCCCTTCAGGATAACTTCCAAAGGTAATTCTAACTAAACGCTGTTTGGCATATATACTGACACTGAAACAACTAAAACTGTTAAGCTGTAGTTAAATGATACTTCAATAATTTTGACCTTCAAAGTCTGTCATTGTTCTTTTATTTTCTTTCTTCTCTACCTTCCTTCTCAATCTCTCCATTTTAATTTTTTAATTTTTGCCAGAGTTGGGATAAAACCAAGATTATTTCTGCTTCAAGAATTAGTATTTCTACTTCAAGTCTCTCTTGAGAGACTTTGTTTAAAAGTTGAGTCACACCTCCAGCTTCCTTCTCATTCTGTCGGGTCTAAAAAGCTGGCCATTGTTTTGACCCAAATGTATTCAATTCCTTGGTTTGTCTCATTTCCCTTAAGTTTACCATTACCACATCTAATGACTATTTAAAAAATACCACTTTCTATAATCTCCTGTTTCAGAAACAGCCTTATTACAAGACAAAAGGCTTTCTGCATGTTAACTGTGACTGCCTACCTACCTTTCTTATTTATAATTTTCTGACATGAGCTATTTGGTCCATTGAAATTCCTGTCCTAAGCGCATGTGTTCATCTTTCCTCAGGCTTTCACTGTATATGGCCTCTTTCTTACTCCTCAATGAATCCTGCTGCCTCTCACAGCTCAGTCTGAGTTTGAAAATTTTCTCTAGGACACTAATTAAAATCATAACCACTCTTTTCTGCTCAAAGAATACTTTCAGAGCAGGGGAAGAAAAATGTGACTACAATTTGCCTGAAGAAATCAAATCAAGCCAGGCAGTGGTGATGCACGCCTTTAATCCCAGTCCTTATGAGGCAGAGGCAGGTGGATCTCTGTGAGTCTAAGGCCAGCCTGGTCTACAGAGCTAGTTGCAGGACAGGCTCCAAAAGCTACAAAGAAACCCTGTCCTGAAAAACAAACAGAAAAATCAAAACCAAACAGCATAGTCTGTATGTGATGAGAAAATACAAAAGAACAAACATCTTATTTGTAATTAATTTAGGAGCATGTATATCAAGATTATCAGCTTATTCCAACTAAAAATGATTGTTGTTAGTGCTCAATAGAGCAGAATCGTAGTGCTATTAAAAAGGTGTCAATTCTTTTCATTTTAAATGTGAATCTTAAAGAGGTTATCAAAAAGAATTAACTAAAGCCTTGACTATAATATTAATTTGTAATTCTCACCAAAAATTCTACCTATAACAGCATCAAATGGCATAGCTATAAATCTTATCAACTATGGCATAACCATTCAATGCTATTGATCATTGAAAAACCAATATGGCAAAAGACTGTAAATACAGAGAACAAGAAAAGCAATTTGTTAAATCTTATTTACAACTCGGGTTAGTCACAGAAACAGCATTAAAAATATTCATTAAACTTCTGAGGGCCAATAGTGATGGCTCAGTGGTAAAGGCATTTGCTGCCAAACCAGAAAACAAAGCTTGATCCCCAAGACCTACATAGAAAGAGAAAAAAGATAGTTTTCCTCTGACATCCACACATGTGATGCGCATGTGTGTGCCCAAACACACACTGCAAAAAATACATATTTTAAATTTAAAAACAGATGAGATGGTTCAGCAATTAAGAGCACTTGTTGCTCTTGCAGAGGTTTGATTCTATCCCCACAAGGCAATTTACACACATCTCTAATTCCAGTCCCATAGCTGGAACTTGCTATGTAGCCTAGGTTGTTCTTAAAACTTGTTTTCCCTACCTCTGCATTCAAATACTAAGATTACAGGCATGTAGCATCATGTCTGTCTTGGAACAACATATTCAACAGATGCCCAAAAGGAGCATATACATTGTGAATTTAAAACATTAAAATATTACCTAAAGGAACTCATGACAGACTGGCAATGTGTCCTCTCTTCTACACATACCTATTGTGAGTCATTCTCTTTTTCAGGAGACTGTTCCTGCAATACAATCAGCCTCACTCCATAATTTTCTAAATCCTTTTATACTGTGCAACTTACACATCAAGTAGACCTTATAAAAATCAGATTTGTATGGAAATAAATTCTTAAAATCATCCATTTTGAGTCAGGTATGGGGGGCACACGACTTTAATCCCAGTACTCGGAGACAGAAGCAGGTGGATCTCTGTCAGTTCAAGGCCAGCCTGCTCTACAAATCCAGTTCCAGGACAGCTAGGGTTGTTACACAACAAAACTTCCATTTTGCTCCATCGCAAATGAAGAGCCCTCTTTAAAGCTCCTTGTCCAAGCACTCCACCATGACTCAGACTATTACTGAGTCACTAGTACTGACTTAACCTGATAATCAGTATCTCAGGCCAATGTGCGATTACAACATTAGTAAGCTGAAACAAAAACAAGACATTCCTAGCACTGGACCCCCACTGCCATTGTGACAATAAGTGACATTCACTGATCACTTATGGCAGACAGAGCAAGCAGGACATTAATTCATAAGATTCAAGTTTTACAACCAGAAGAAAACACCCTGTTTATAATTATAGTTTCTCAACTTGTACCAAAGCCCCCTACAATTGCACCTTTTTATATCCATGCTGATTTCAACCTTCCAATAAAAAGGCATACAGTTTTTAAATCAGTAGAAACAGTCAACAGTACAGAAACACTAACACACACTTTGATAACCATCACTTATGGGTGCAAGATCTTACACATGTCCTAAAACTGTTGTTTCACAATAGGTCTGCTGGGAATAAAAGATGTTGAGAATTTATTTAGCTCAAAAAGGCCATACAATAAAAATGGTTCAACAGAGTAAATGATCAGAATTAAACATTTACTGTTTCAGCATGATTTAGTTTCCTTTAAGACTGCACACCTTTAATCCCAGCACTTGAGAGGCTGAGGCAAGTCAATCTCTGCATTTGAAGCCAGCCTGGTCTACAGAGCAGTGGCAAGACAGTCAGGGCTACATAGAGAAACTTTGTCTCGAAAAACCAATGGGAGGAGGAGACGGCTACCTTGATCCTCAAAGTTGTTTTTAAAAGGTCATTTTATGATTTTAATATACATTCAACTTTTTACAACATGGTTTGGTTCCAGGACCCCTAACAAAATCTTCAGATGTTCAAATATCCTATATAAAATGTAGTATTTATATATAACCCACTTTTATCCTGCTGTATACTTTAGCTCTAGATATTTATAATATCCAATATAATGCAAATGACATATAGTTATGAACCTGTATTGTTTAAGGAATAAAACTAAGAAAAAAGTCTTCATATGTAAAATACATTTCTTTCTTCCTTTTTTATTTTTAACTGTATCTATATCCAATCTTTAGTTGGTTGAATCCATGGAGACAGAATCTCCCACACTACTGTATTTTTGTTGTTTCATTTTTGTTCTTTTTTTTTGATTATTTATTATGTATACAATATTCTTTCTGTGTGTATGCCTACATGCCAGAAGAGGGCACCAGACATCATTACAGATGATTGTGAGCCACCATGTGGTTGCTGGGAATTGAACTCAGGACCTTTGGAAGAACAGCCAGTGCTTTTAACCTCTGAACCATCTCTCCAGCCCCCTTTTGTTCTGTTTTGAAAGACAGAGAGTCTCTCTATGTAGCTCCGAATGCCCTGAAGCTTGTGATGTAGACCAGTTTGAACTCACAGAGAGCCACCACATCCAGTCTAGTTGCAGACCAATGTTACTCTATACTAAATTCACTGGAATCTGTGTTTTATGAGTAGAATTCATTTTGTAATGATCTTCAAAACTTTATCAAGCTGAGTCCTAGGGACCATATATAAGAAAAATGGAGGAAAAACAGACCTGGGGAAGCTCCCCAAGTACTCTAACTTCTCAGGAGTTATGGCTCACCAATGAGTGATATAATTCTTAAAATGATTGCAGGTTTTTACAATATCTACTTCCCACTATCATACCCAAGGGGTCTGCTGAAAGTATTTCACAACTGATTGTGAAATCACTCAACAGAATGTATACAATTATTTAAATCAATCAATATAATTACTTATTTATTTATTTATTTGGTTTTTCGAGACAGGGTTTCTCTGTGGTTTTGGAGCTTGTCCTGAAACTAGCTCTTGTAGACCAGGGTGGTCTCAAACTCACAGAGATCCGACTGCCTCTGCCTCCCAAGTGCTGGGATAAAGGCGTGCGCCACCATCGCCCGGCCATCTGTGAAGTATTTCTTATGGTCACAGAGGAACCAGAACAGAAGCCTCATTCTCCACTCACTCAGGTGTTAAAGTGCCAAGAGTAGTTAAAGCCTTAGGATAAAGGGGGCATAGGAATAGGAGCTTTCTATTGCCATTTATACTAAAAATTGGAGAAAAATACTATATAAAAACTATATTTTTGGGGGCTGGAGAGATGGCTCAGTGGTTAAGAGTACTGCCTGCTCTTCCAAGGGTCCTGAGTTCGGTTCCCGGCGACCACATGGTGGCTCACAACCATCTGTGATGAGGTCTGGTGCCCTCTTCTGGCCTGCAGTCATACACACAGACCGAGTTTTGTATGCATAATAAATAAATAAATAAATATATATTTTTAAAAAACTATATTTTTATAATATTTATATATTTTCTATTAAAATAAGAACTAATGTGTTGTTGCATATAAACAGGATATACATGACTTAAGGTAAATATAACACAAGAAAGTTTCATAGTGATTCTCTTAAAAGGGAGGAAGGGTGATGAATGCTATACCAAGAGAACAGCTCCCCACCGAGGAGGAGCGGAACAGGGTTAGAGCTGCAGCAGAGTGTGAGACCATGGACCTCAGTCACATAACTGTGGGCTTAAAGCCTCCTTTGGCCATCTGTGAGATACAGTAAATATTTCTTACATTATCGCCTTTTATTGTGAGATTTGTTAAGCAAACTGCCTAGATTCTAGAATATAGAAGGCTATAATGAATGCAGCCTACTAACACCTTCAGTCACACCAGTAAATCTGTCTGGCTGTCAAAACCATTCATTCAGCTTCAATTTGTGAGATCAAGATAAGGAAGCAGTTGCTATTTATAGGCCCTCCCAACTAACTAACTGCACAAAGAAATCAGGCCAATAGGGTAAAATGACTGAGGTGAACACTATACTCACATATTTCATTTCAAACTTCTTAGCCAACATTTCCACTTCTTGCCTCTCCTTATGCTCATCATCAAATGGGTCTTCTGCATGAACAAGCTTCTTCTGATTCAAAGGAAACGGGGAAAGAAACAGAAGTATTACAACTACTTCAACTAGACTGCCATATACTAATGACATATCAACTACAGTTCAGTATAAATAAGTAGCATATCAAATAGATATTCAGTACTATATATTCTATAACTACATCCATTGTATTATTTTCCAGACTGGAATCTACCTTTAAATTTCAATGAACATAAATAGGTTAAACGTATTAAAAGCAATCCTTTTTTTTTTTTAAAAAAATGATAGCTCACAGAAGGAAAGTATCTGCAGTTGATAGACTTACACACACTGTACAGTAAGAATTCCAACATCAAAACTGACTCCACTTGCAAAATGACCACATGACCATCCCATCCCAAATAAAGCAATCTCTCCCTAGTCCAACACAGGTAAAAATGAAAATATGAATTTTATTTTGATATTATCCCTAAGAGCTAACTGATTCAGCCATGGATAGCCCTTAAAAGGTATCCAAATTACTAGAGAATCAAGATTCATCATATGCTTACAAGTTATTACTTAAGTATCTGCCAGGGGCCCTGGCTTTCTGCTGAGACTTAGAATCAATAACTTCTTATATTGCCTGTCTCCTGTCAATGGATACCCATTCAAGGAAAAGACAAAGCTAAAAAAAAAAAAAAATGCAATAGCTGATCATGGCTTCCTACTAACAGTGTAGAATGAAACGCCATTCTAAAATACACTTTAAAACACAGACACACTCACACACTATGAGCAAGGATCCTATATTCACCAGCCACTCGTCAAAACAGATAAAACTGTATCCTTTCTTGACTTTACTATGTTTTCAAAAAAAAATTAATGTATTATTATTATTATGTGCTGCATGATGGAGGGGGTGGGGAAGTGCACACACGTGCAGGTCCAGGGCAACTTTGTGTAGTTGATTCTCTCCTTGTACCTTTCTGTGGATTCTGGGGATTGAACTCAGGTTGCCAGGCTTGCTCTGACCTGACGTGCTGTTACAGCAGTTATGTTTTATATATATATGATTTTTTTAAAAAAGGCAGAGCTACTTTTAAAGAAATACAATTTTTATCCAATTTCAGAAAATTTACTTTGAAAGTAAATTTGGTTTTGTTGTTTGCTTCTTTTGATTTTTGTTTTGTTTTGTTTTTGGTGACAGGGTCTTACTAAGAAGCCTAGAATGACCTGGAACTTAGTTAGATCAGGCTAGCCTCGAACTCAGAGATTCTTCTGATTCTCCCTCCTATGCGACTAAACTATGTACAACCATACCCCTCTCAAAGTAAATTTTAACAGGCGTTTTTGTTTGTTTTGTTTTTTAAATACAGGGTTTCTTTGTGTGTAAGCCCTGGCTGTCCTCAAACTCACTTTGTTGACCAGACTGGCCTTGAACTCACAGAGATCCTCCTGCCTCTGCCTCCTTGGATTAAAGTCCTGAGGATTCATTTTTTTTAACCTGATGTAGCAGCTTCAAATAATTAAAAGTATATTACAACCAAGACAAAGACCTGAATTTAGTACTAAGGTGTTTCACCCTAGATAGAAAGACCAATACACATAATCAGCCTAAAACAAGACAGGGAAACATGGATAAAGAGAGGTTTCATCCTTCCCAGCATATCAAAATAAAGAGGGGGGGGGAACTCCTTAGATTTTAAGGAGTTGATTTTAGAATTTCTAAATGTAATAATAAATATTTATAGAATATCTTCTCCTAATTGGCATTATGAATAAAAAATATAAAAAAAAACAATTGAAAACAAACTAGCAAAGTGAGACTGGTAAGAAGTAAAACTGCTACATTGGGGGCACAACAGTCCCCTGACACTAATGCAAGCAATCAGTATCTGTTGTCATAAACTATCCCCTCCCACCACTGAATAGTTCAAATACTAGATCCTTATTATCAGTACAATCAGGATTTTATGACAGTTTTATTGAACTCAGAGCCTTTCACTTGCTGACTTATTTTATATATGCAAATACAAACACAAATTTTTACTAAGAATCACTTTTTTTAAAAAAAAGATTTTTATTTTTTTATGCACATTCGGGTTTTGCCTGCCCAGAACTGGAGTTACAGTTGTGAACTGCCATGTGAGTGCTGAGAATTGAACCTGTGTCCTTTGGAAGAGCAGCTAGTTTCCTTAAACTTCAGCCATTTCTCTATTTCACCTTTAAATGTTATTCTAGAATTTTTTTCAAGACAGGATTTCACTACAGTCTAGACCTCAAAACTCACAATCCTGCCTCAGTATCATGAGTATACCATGCCCAGTTTAATCTAAAATATTTTGTGTATTTTATACAGGCGTTGAAATCTATCTCTTGTTTACATGTGGTCTATAAAATTAAAATAAACTCACTTCTCCTTTACTTTTAATGCCTGCAATCCAAACACTCAGGAAGCTGAGGCAAGAAGTCTGACAGAAGTTTGAGGCAACCTGGCCTACACAGTGAGACCTTAAGTACAATCCCCCACCTCACCCCCACCCCAGCCAGGTGAAACAAATTGTAAATTATCAGCTATCTATGAGTAAAATCAATGCAATGGTTTTCTCCTTTGATCTCAGTAGCATGTTCAAATCTTTCAAAGGTCTTATCCAATATATGCAAGTGACAAGCAACCGAAAAGCACAGAAGTCTGTAACAGTACAGTTACATCACCATCATCATCGCTTGTTTTTCTCTTCATAGGAAATATTTAACTCATTATGTTCTCAAATAGGTGCTCAGGTTATCTGATTCTTGGTTTGCTAAGAACTGAGCTTTTTTCTCTTATGTATTTATAAAGTCCAAAACTTACTCCACAATGCACTTTCTCCGCAATGGCGAACAAACTAATCTTTCAGGATAGGAATGATTCCAATGTCTCAGAACCACCTAAACTACCATAATTATGGCATAATACCACAAAGAGAGCAAGGAAAAGGGCTGACCTAATATGCAAGGTGATTTTGCTTTTTAGAGTTAGCCAAAATATGCTTTTCCTCATAAATACAGAAAAACTCCAACTGTATTTCCACTAATTGGGATTGCACTCTTAATTTAGCAGGTCTGAAGGGGCTTATTTAAATGAACCCCAGTACAGATGGTATTTACAAAAAACATTTTCAACAGTCCACAGCTACCAACTTTCAGTTAACAAATCTTGTTCACAAACATACAGCTATTTAAAAAATCTGGAGACTTTTTCTTCTAATTCTGCTTAGCCTACTACAGGTACATTATTCACTTCCAGTAATTCAAAATTAAAATTATTTTGGAAAGATTATAACTCCAAAAATAAAATTAATCTGTGTCAGGCCTGGTGGTACAGACCAGTAATCCCAGCTACTCAGAAAGCTAAAACAGCAAGATCATGAAGTCAAGGCCAGCTTGAGCAACTTAAAATTATCTTGTCTCAAAACAAAGAACGAGGTAGACTGGAGTCCTGTCAATGATCTAGCAATACCTTTGGCGTGATTCTCAGCATTGGAAAAATAAAAGTGAAAGACTTCCTAGAGGAGGAAATTTGGGGCTTCCCACTTTCTAGACATTCTAATACTCTTTTGCATTCCAACTGGTCACTCTTCTAGGATTTCCCTTTATGGAGCCATCACAATTCACTTACAAAGGTGTTATTTATACATTAGCAGGTAATAAATACATCAAGTAGGACTAATCATAGGAAACAGTAGCAAACTCCTGCTACAAAAGTATACGGCATTAAAAAACAAAACAAAAGAATAACAACCTGAAACAGAGTAACAACCTGGTCTACAGAGCAAGTTCCAGGGCAGCCAGGGATATACAGAGACACCCTCTCAAAAGACCAACAACAAAAAATAAAAATAAAATTCAAAAAAAGAAAAAACCCAACAAAACAAAAAACAAACACCAGGATAAATTCTTTTGTGGAATTACAAAAGATATATGCTTGAATATATAATGAGAAATCTGGATCACTAAATCCCTAAATTGATAATATATATGAAACAAACACAAAAATTAAGACCAATTTATCTGTCTCTTAAAACATGAAAGTATAGCCATGTACCATGAACCATGCTTTCAGGTTCGGGGAAAGATCACATACACAATGATAAATACCACAGAGTCTAACTAAATAGCAGGTTAAATGGTTAAGTACCGTATAGCTAACTATATAGGTGGTTAAAACACCTAGGTTAGCAGGGTGTGGTATCCAACACCTTTGATCCCAGCACTGGGGAGGTAGAGTCAGATGGATCTAAAGTGGTAGTCCAGCCTCATCTACAGAGTGATTTCCTGGATAAAACTGCTACACAGAGAAACCCTGTCTCAAAAAAGCAAAACTAAAGCAAGCAAACAAAAAAATCCCACCTAGGTTAAGTGAACGAACTTTCTACAGTGTTTGCACAATGACAAAAGACTAACTAGCATTAAGTATTTTTACCTAAAGATGGTTTTTGTCCCGCCGTTTTGTTACACTTATTTGTGTGTGTGTATGTACACCCTGCAGAGGATAATGGTTCTCTCCTTCCACCATGGGGGTCCTGGGGATGGAACTCAGGTCTTCAGGCTTGGCAGCAAGTGCCTTTACCTGCTGAGCCATTTTGTCACCCAGTTCTGGTCTTTTGAGTCAGGGTCTTACTAATGTGGCCCTGAACTCTCCATCCTTCTAACCCCAGCCTGCAGAGCGCTGAGGTCACAAACTAGCAAGCCCATCTACAAAATGTTTTGAATCTGTAACTTAGCAAATTATAAAAACCGAACCCCTTATACTAACAAGTCAAATATAATTTCTTTGAAAAATGCTTCAAATTAAGACTAAAAAATGACTTTTTTTTTTTTTTTTAAAGAGCTCTGGTCGGGCAGTGGTGGCGCACGCCTTTAATCCCAGCACTTGGGAGGCAGAGGCAGGCGGGTCTCTGTGAGTTCGAGGCCAGCCTGGACTACAAGAGCCAGTCCCAGGACAGGCTCCAAAGCTACAGAGAAACCCTGTCTCTTAAAAACAAAAACCAAAACAAAACAGAGCTCTGAATGGAGGCTACAGAACAAAATGTTACATGAAAGTGACCAAAATGGTCTCTACCCCCCAAATTTCATTTTGTCTGAAAACATTTAGTAATGATGGCTGCACAATACTTATAATTAGCCATCAAAAGATTATCTGATACAAAATGAACACAGGCTAATGATATTTTTTCAACGTGAGACTTTTGATTAAGAGTCCTTCATTGCAATAACAAAGATAGTTGATGAGAGATACTAATGAATTATGGAGTCCATTAACCTGCTAGAAAGCCCAGCCTAATAAAGAGCATAGTCGCTAAACTAGAGGACAATTGTATGTCTGTCTGCCTCTGTCTCTTTCCCACCTCCCCCCCTCCTAAAGATCACCAACCCACAACAATAAAAATTACAGTCACCGGCAAACCGCTGTCCTAATCCCCATTGTTCAGCGCTTTCCTCAAAGGCATACCTATGTATTTTCCTGTTTTTCTTTTTTTATATAAATTCAAAGCCAACGTTTTTCCCATCTCTCTCCAAAAGGCTACACCGGACAAATAACCCCGATTCGAACTAATAATAACACTCAAATAATATGATTAGACAGCCACCGAGTAAGACAGGAGACCTTTCCATTCAAAGACAATATGAACAAACTCAACACACACACACACAAAGCTAACAATATTTACCAACACGAGTGCAACCACATTAACGAATCCACTTTTTCATTCCTAAGGTGGAATCTTTAGTTTCTGAAAATGTTTAAATTCTCTTAAATCCCCTTCAATCAAGGAAAATAAACCACCCGGCCACGAGCCCATCTCAGCAGCCCTGGCGCCCGGTACAGCTGGGTTGAGGAAGGATGAGGACGAGCCGAGAAGGGGTCACACAATCTCTCCGCTTCAGACCGGGGGGCGTGTCCCCCAAGGTTTTTTCGCTTCCCTTCTACCGGAACGACAGATGGAGTGCCACAAGAAGCTAGCCGCCCGGCTCGCGGGGCCTCGGGATTTGGTGTGGGGAACAGAAAGGAAAAGGAGGAAAAAAAAAAAGCTGAGGTTTCGAAAGGTGCAGAGGAAAACCAGCTCGGCGCGGTGTGGAAGGGGCAGCCTCGGCCACCCAGGTGGGCCGAGCCGCACAGCTCCCGCCCCGTCTAGCCGCCCGGCCCCCGCCACCCCACCCCCGGGGCGAGCGAAGTGCAGAGCAGCCCGGGCAGGCGGCCGGTCCGGAGGCACCCGGGCTGTGGGGCGGCCGGGAGGGAGGGACCCTCTGTACCCGTTGTTCTCCGCACAGCAGCAGCTCCGGGTAGCTGAACTCCACGCAGCTTTCGTCCGTGGGGTCCTTGAGCACCAGCTCCAGGCGAACCGTCTCCTTCGGCGGTCGCGGCGGCGGCTCCGCCCGGGCAGCCGAGTCCCGCGGCGGGGCGGTCTGCAGGGACAGCGGCGGCGGCGGCGGCGGCTCGGGCCGCGGGGGCTCGCGCTGCAGCGCCATGGGCGGCTCGGCGCGGCTGACCTCGCGCTGGGGGAGCGGCTTGTCGCGCGCCGGGTGCTGCGCGTCAGCGCGGGGGGCCGACTCCGCCCGGGCCGGCTGCGGCGGCTCCAGGCGGGGGGGCTCGCGCTCGGCGCCCGCGAAGTCGGCCTCGCGCCGCCTCACCGGTGACAGGCTAATGAACGCGACTCTGCGCGGCTCCGCCATCCCCACTGTTGTGGCCCTCGGCGCTCGCTCGAGCCGGCTCTCGCCTCGACCCCGCACGGCGTGCCTGCCCGCCTTTCCTTTCGCTCTCCGTCGCTTTTCTTCCCTCCAGCACCCTCAGCCGCCTCCGCGGACGCCACCGTGAGTGCGAACCGGGTCCCTGTCCCCGCTACTACGTTCTGATAAGCTCCACCGCCATCGCCAGGGTCGCCGCAGCCGCCATGTTGGGTCCCCCACATAAATAGAAGCAGGCCGCTGAGCGGGCGCATGCGCACACCGGAGACGCTCGCGTCCACAGTCGTGGCTGTTGCTCAGTTTTCCTCTTTTCCTCCCAACAGTCTGGAGTGCCGACAGCTCGACGGAAGTGACGTCACATGTGGCCCTGTCTCCGTAGCAACGGAGACGCTATTTCTGCTTTGGCTCCGAAGGAGGGGTTTGGGGTTCCCGGAGTGATTTCCTCTGCTCGCCCGGAAACCGAGGCGCGCTCGCGGATCCCTCAGGGTGAGCGTTGCGATGTGCCTGGGAACGACCCAGACATGGCGCCGCGTCCCGCCCGTCGACGGCCTTTGGCTCTCGGCCCGGGGGAGCAGGGTTGTCAGCTGAGGACTCCGGGTGGACCCTGGAAAGGGTGAGGGACTCGCGGCCTGGCCGCGGATCCTGCCCGCCCGGTGCCCAGTCGCCGGAGGTGTCCAGAGTAGAAGTCAAAGACTAAACTCGCCCCAGACCCCTCCCGCGGGCGCCACGCTGCCTCCCACACCGCCGCCGCCTACACTTCTCCCCAGCCGCTTCGCGCACGGCAAGGAGACGCTCGGTGACGCGCAGCGGTTGGGAAATTGAACTGGCAAACGAACAGTTCGTGAAGACTTGAACGTCTTAGCAGGGTTTGTTGTTATTTTAGGAGACTCGTTCTCGGGGGGAGGTGGTTGACGACTTTGAGGCTCATTTCTGAGTGAGAAGGAGCGCTGATTAGGCTTCGCTGTTATACCCATGGGAACCGAATTGTGATTCGGATTTTAAAGGATGAGAATTACTGACCGTTTTAATCTATTCAGTAGAAAGTGAATCTGAAGACTCGTCTTTCACATCCTCAAGGAAACCCAAGCTTGTTAATTGCCTTAACTGTATTAGATGCTGAGGAGCTGAGTCAAAGTGACATCATTTTTTTAACAGGCTGGTATTGACTCAGAATTCTGTTCCTTTCCAAAAATGCGCCATTTGATGATGGAATGTTCGTCCCAAAAGTTCCTCCTCGTTCTAATACAGGCTTGGAGGCACAGGAAGAGGCAGGCTGTGCGACTTCAACACAGTCTGCATAACCGGCTCCAGCCCAACTAGCACCTCTTTTTGGTTTTTGCTGGCAGGGTTTCTCTGTGTAACAGTCCTGGCTGTCCTGGAACTCACTCTGTAGACCAGGCTGGCCTCGAACTCACTGAGATTCACCTGCCTCTACCTCCCAAAAAGTGTGTGGCACTCCAGACTCAGGTGGATCTCTATGATACAAGGACAGTCTAGTGGACTTAGTGAGTTCCACGCCAGCCAGAGCTGGGAGACTTTGTCTGAAAAGGAGGAGGAAGAAAAAAAGGAAATAAGAAACAATCTCTTTTAGCTCTAAAATGCTGTACTATTTCCTTGACACCATGCTTTACCTACAACATTCCTTCCGCCACCACCCCCAATTTTGATTGAGATCTCTTATTTTGGACTGAAGCACTTAAATGACCTTTCTGTCCCCAGACTCTATTTCTGCCAGTCTTACCATAGGGCAATTAATGTTTCCGAAACACTTTTTGTTTTATCATTCTCTATTCCAGCTCCAATTGAGCTGCAAAGTGAACTCTATACCTGTGTTCAGTAGCTACAATTTATCCCAGAGCTTTGGGTCAGTCTGTCCTTGAGCCAGCTCTTCTGTGTGTATACTGTTCATCCAACTTTATCATCTGCTGGGTGCTTTCCTGATCCACCGTAAGAAATAGATTCTAAGCCTTGACATAAACACTAAAACCACACTCAGGAGGCAGAGGCAGGCAGATCTCTCTGAGTTTGAGGCCAGCCTGATCTACAGAACAAGTCCCAGGACAGTCAAAGTTGACTGTCTCAAAAATCAAAGCAGAAAGTTAGTTCTTTGTAACCTAATGTCCACATCCACACAGCTGACGTGCAGTGTGCCTTCCTGTGAGGCACAGAATGGAAACAGTGATGGAGGTCAAAGGACGATTTGTGGAGCCTGTTCTCTCCTTCCAGGTGGCCAGACTCTGCACCTTTTCATTCTAAATGTTCTATAGTAATAGTTTAAATTGTAACATCACCAAGAACAAGTTTTTTTGTTTGTTTGGTTTGGTTTTTCAAGACAGGATTTTTTTTTTGTGTGTGTGTGTGTGTGTGTGTGTGTGTAACCCTGGCTGTCCTGGAACTAGCTCTATAGGTCAGATTGGCCTCAAAACTCCCAGAGATCCCCCTTGCCTGTGCCTCCTCAGTGCTGGAATTAAAGGCATGTGCCACCTCTACCCAGCCCCAAGAACAAGTTTTTGATTTATTAGGTTATTTGTCAAAAAGTATATGTGCCACATCCACCATATCCACCAGTGCTGAATAAAGAAGTTGTTCTTATTTTGTTTTTCTCTTTGAAACAAGGTCTCACTATGTAAACCAGGCTGGCCTTGAACTCAGAGACCCTTCTGCCTTTGCCCCCCCTAGTGTTGGGAATTAAAGGTGTGCAACAGTATGCCTGGCTGGTTTTCAAACCTTAATATAAGCCGGGCGGGCGATGGTGGCGCACGCCTTTAATCCCAGCACTCGGGAGGCAGAGGCAGGCGGATCTCTGTGAGTTCGAGACCAGCCTGGTCTACAGAGCTAGTTCCAGGACAGGCTCCAAAGCCACAGAGAAACCCTGTCTCGAAAAACCAAAATAATAATAATAATAATAATAATAATAATAATAATAATAAACTTAACATAAGATCAATTTTCCTTTTCCTACATCAGAAGGCAATTAATACTCTTTCCCTAAGATTTGCATTAACTGAGTTATGCCATTCACTTTATATTTTAAGGTCATATGTAAAGGTCTTATTGACTGTTTCATTCTAGTGAAATTTCAGGTGTTTTGCTTTCAAAGTCATATAGCTAACACTGTCCCTGAACTCCTGACCTTTCCAATTCATCTCAAGTTAGTCAGTTATTATATGTCCCTTCACATCCAGCTATCTTAGGAATTTTGAAAGTATTAAGCTTCACCAAGTAGTCACACCTTTAATCCCAGAATTTGGGAGGCAGAGGCAGTAAGATCTCTGAGTTCGAGGCCAGTCTGATTTACAAAATGTGTTCCAGGATTGCCAGAGGTACACAGAGAAAACCTGTCTTGGAAAATGTAGTGATATTTTGTGTTTTAACAAATAAAGCTTCCCTGAAGATCAGAGAGTGAAGAGCTTAACCACTAGAGGCCAGGCAATGGTGGCCATACCTTTAATCCCAGCACTAGGGAGGAGGAGACAGGAGCTAAGTGCAGTCTGAGGTTTGGTGAAGATGGTTGCAGTGTGCACTCTAAGGAGGCAGCCTGAGGACAGGATCCCCCTTCTGGTCTGAGGATTTGGGAAAGGTAAAAGGTCTCTCTGCTTCTCTGACCTTTCAGCTTTCATCCCCTACTATCTGACTCCAGGTTTTTATTATTAAGACCAATTAGAATTCATGCTACAGTGGGGGAAAAAGTATTAAACTTCCACAAGTACGCACATTTCTATATCTTTTCACTTTCCTAATTCTCCCCTCTTCCTCTTGCTCCCTCTTTTCCTCCCTCGCCCCTTCTTTCTCCAGGGTCTCACTATGTAGTTTTGGGTGTCCTGGAACTCGCTATGCAGACCAGACTAGCCTCTAATCCACAGAAACCCACTGGGAATCAAGGGGTGCACCACTATGCCTGGCTTCTATTCCTTTTTCTAATAATACTCTTTGAGAGTATTTTATTGTATCTTGAATAACATCATGACTTTATATTCACATATATAATCATGTATTATATTGATGACATCCTTTTCCTAAAAACATAGAAGCCCCCCCCCCAAAAAAAAAACTCAATAGAGAATTCTGAGTGTTTTGTCAACAAACAACATTCTCTCTGCTTAATTGTGATCATGTAAAATTAGACTGTCTGTCCAAGGAATGAGCCCAGGATTTGCCTTTCATGGAGCCATACATACCCTCACGCCCCACAACCTGGTCTTAGCAGTTGTACTGTTAAGTTCTAAATAAAACCTGGTGTGGTGTGTGCTGATGTTTTCTCCTTAATTCTATTGTGGTTTGCTTTATTTGTTCTTAAATGATGCTTGTAACCCTCAGAATCAGCTCCTGAACCCTCTAGTTGGTTGCAGTTTTGAAGTTGAAGTAAATCCACAACTTAACAGAGACTGAACAGGTCAGGAAAATGTAATTTTGCTCCTAGGGACTAGAGATAGACAATAGATAAATACATAATCTCAGAGAACTTAGAAAACCCTAAATGATGTAGTTGAAAATTGAAAAAAAAAAAGGGGGCCTTTCAAGAGGCTAGAAAGAGGTACGGCAGTTCCTAGTAAGTGGCAAGTCAGTGTTTTACATAGTTAAACCATATACTATTGTAGTGATATTTTGTTTGTAGTCCAACAAATAAAGGTTGTCTGAAGATCATCCACTAATTAGCCATAGAAGCAAGGCAGTGGTGGCACATGCCTTTAATCCCAGTACTCAAGAGACAGGCAGACAGATCTTTGTGAGTTCAAGACCACCCTGGACTACAATAGATTGATCCATTCTAAAAGAAAAACAGAACTAGGTGGTGGTGGCTCAGGCTCACACTTTTAATCCCAGCACCAGGGAGATGGATACAGGAAGTTATATGACTGGGCAGAGAGAGGAGTATAGCGAGAGGAGACAAGCCCAGATGCAGGCTGAGGATTTATGGAGACAGGATTACCCCTTCAGTCTGAGCATTGGTAGAGGTAAGAACTCTCTAGTAGCTGGCTGCTCTGCTTTTCTGATCTTCAGCATTAACTCCTATATCTGAATCTGAGTTTTATTATTAATACAAATTAAAATTCATGCTACATATTGTAAAGTCAGATTATTCTTTATTTTTATTTTATTATTTTTTGGGGAAGAAGTTTGAAGACAGGGTTTCTCTGTGAAACAATCCTGGCAGCCTGGCACGAACTTTGTATACCAGGCCGGCATTGAACTCAGAGAGATCTGCCTGTGTCTGCCTCCCAAATACTGGGAATAAAGGCATGCACCACCACCACCTGGCATACTCTTGTTTTTTATATTCGTATATATGTGTAACAATTATATATCCTGAGAGATCAAGCTATTAAGCTATTCATACCTTATCTGTCTCTGTGTATTGTATGTACATGCTTCTGTGTGCACATATGCTTGGGGGTATTGATTTTGGGTGTCTTCCTCAATCACTTTCTACCTTATTGTTGTTTATTACACTTATTTTGTGTGTTTCTGTGTTTGGGAGGGGAAGGTAGAGGGTGTACATGTGCTACAGTGTACAGGAGGTCCGAGAACAACTTGCAGGAATTGGGTTTCTCCACCATGTGGAGCCTGGGATTCAAGCTTAAGTCATAAGCATGGTGGTTCCTTTATCTGCCAGGCCATCTCCTTAGTTCATCTGCCCTATATTTTGAAACAGGCCCCTCCCAGAACGTGGAGCGCATCCACCTGTCTGTTTCTTCAGACTGAGATTAGGACCCAGCTTTCTACTAAGTGGCGAGATCTAAGCTCGGGTCTTCATGCTTTTGTTGGCCAGCAGTTTACTGACTGAGCCATCACCCTGGGCCCCCATTCATGCCTTCTTGAGAACACTTGTGTGAGGAACCAAACAGATGTCTTGAAAAACTCTGAAAGGAGAGATTTGAAGAAAGAGAATTTAAGTACAACCTCTGGAGGGAGTGAGCTGGAGTTTTGAGAGAAAGGTGGAAATCTGAGAATACAGAGATGAGCTCAAGTAGAGGTGACAGACCAGGCCGTTAAATATTATTAAAAATGGACCCAGAGGCAGGAAATTTGGCTCAGTGTTTAAGAGCAAGTACTACTCTTGTAGAGAGCCTGAGTTCACTTCTCAGCACCCACTTCAGGCATCTCCCAGCTGCCTATAAACTCCAGCGCCAAGGGACCTGACATGCTATTGTAGACTCCACAGGCACCTGCACCCACAGACAGAAACACACACAAATGGACTCAATAACTAAAAAATAAATCTTAGCTAAAAGTGAACCCAAAAGCGAATGGAAAGTAATTGAAAGTGACACAGTGATAAAGGAGTCAGCTAATTTTCCAGTTCTGTCAAGTCTACCGTGTGACAAGGACTACTGATCGAGCCATCTCCCTAGCTCCTTTCTCCTTTATTATTTTTTAAGTTTTTGCTTTTCAAGACAGGGTATCCCTGTAGCTTTGGAGCCTATTCTTGAACTAGCTCCTGTTGAACAGACTGGCCTTGAACTCAGAGATTCACCTGCCTCTGCCTGGCAAGTGCTGATATTAAAGGCGTGCGTCACCACCACCCGGCTTTTTTTTTAGCATCATTATTGGATAGGCCAGTCCAGATTAAAAACTTGAAACCCGTAATCTAATCCCCAAATCCCAGGGAAGGACCAATAATTGACTGTGTCGGTGGCAATCCTCAAATCAGTCAGCTGCCAGGAAAGGCCTGCTGGCCTGGCTTCTGCTAAGGTGGATGGAGTTTAGGCAAAAGGATGCTGTTCCAGGAACGACCAGGAGCCTGACAAGCAGCTACTCTGAGGCCCCAAAACACAAAACTGTAGGACAAAATTGCCCATAATGCCTTGTGTTTAAAAGGTGATGACTTTTTTACTCACAGAAGAAAACATAAATACAACATAACTCATGAAAGGAAAGAAAATTTAAGCCAAATCAAGAATTATGTTGCTGGGCAGTAGGGGCACACGTCTTTAATCCCAGTACTCGGGAGTCAGTCAGGAGAATCTCTGTGAATTTAAGGGCAGCCTAGTCTGCAGAGGTAGTGCCAGGACAGCCAAGCCTACACAGAGAAACCCTGTCTTGAAAACAAACAAAAAATGATGTTAAAGAGCTGGCCTCTCAGAAAACAACACAGACCAGCAAAGCACAAAGTCTAGAAACTAGACAGTTTCATGGGGGAGTTCTGCCAAACGTGACGGGAAAATGGGTTTCATAGTATTTAAATTGCTGCAGTATAGAACAGGAAGTGTCTGCTCCCCAAAACTTGGTTTTTTTTTTTCAGGTATCAAGTGAAATGCTGCTTCCAGCTCCAGCATAAACCTTCGGTAACACTAGAGGAACAGCTGTCCTGAGGTGCTCTTTGATCCGCTAGGTTGATGAAGGAGGTAGAAATGGGTGGTACTGAGCTGCTGAGGATGTGGAGAAATAATCACTTCCTTTTATTGCTGGAATAACCTTTGCGTGTGGCAATTTAGAAATACCTGTCAATTGCACACGCGCTTTAACTCCCAATTCTGTGGATTTATCAAAGAGCTGTATTTTATTACAGTTTGTTTAGGTGTGTGTGAGAGAGAGGGAATGGAAAGCGGAGGACATTTTACAAGAGTGGGCTCTCTCAGTGTGGTCCTGGGGTGAACTCTACATCCTCAGTGGCAAGTACCTCTACCCTTTGAGCCATCTTTTTTTAACTTTCTTTTTTATTTATTCTTTGTGTCTTTCACATCATAAGTCTTATCCCACCTATCTCCTACCCCCTCTCATCTGCCCTCTGCCCCTGCAGCCTCTCCCCTCCTACTTCAAAAAGAAAGAAAACAAAATTTAAGGTAAAGAAGGAAGAAAGGGAAACTTGTCATGGAAGCTGCAGTGTGAATTGTACAGTGTTCATTTCAAAAAATCATTAGTTTGGTTTGAGGCCCCTGGTCTCTGCTGCACTAGCAACACTGGGACTCTTCCTGGACATCCCGTTGCTGCCCTGTGTCGTGGAGATCCTGTAGCCCCCACCCCATACACAAACACCTGTGCTCCAGCCCATCACAGATGGGGCAGATGTTGGGGTAGGGCCAACACTTAACCCTGGGCCTGGGTAGTTACATAGTCGCTCAACCTGCCAGCTCTCTCCTGTCTTCACCACCAGGGTAAGTTCCCCAGCAAGTTCACACCTGGCAGCAATGAGCTAGCAGCAGGGCCAGTAGTCTGGCCTTTACATCCTCAGGCTGGTTGGTTCACACCTCCACCTTCAGGGCCAGCTCTGCTGTGTTGTCCAGTGGAGGTGCAGGGGCCACTCTCCTAAGTGCTGCAGCTGATGAGGAATAAGGACAGCTCCCTGGCTCTTATGACCTCAGGACAGCTGGGCTTGGGGGAATCCCCTGCCCGTGGGGCCACATGACAATTAAGTCCACTGAGCCATCTTAGCAGACCAAACAGCTACAACATTCTGTATATTTTTCTTCTTTCCCAACTTGATTGGTGAGATGTAAAGGATTTTTCATTTATTTTACTGATTTAAAATATTTTTTTACTTTGAAATTCTTTTTCAAAGCCAGATCCTTCACACATTGTTACTATTATCATTTTTCTATTTTCTTTGAGACAACATCTTACTGTGTACAGTCCAGACTGGGTTCAAGTTTTCATTCTCCTGCCTCAGACTTCTGAGTGCTGGGATTCTAGGCAGGAAACACCATATGGCTTCTATTTTTAGCTTAATTAATTTTGGAGTTGATTAGTCTTTCTTGTGGAATCCTTATGCTTATTTCAATAATCTTTTTATAATCTCTCAAGATCCCAGTGTCACCTCATTCATTTTTTTTCCTGGTTTTTAGTGTAAGGTCTTAAGACCTTGTCTCCAGGGTGTAACATGAATCTAGTTTGGAGAGCCTCTTTTACTTCAAAGTTAGGAAGGTTTTATCTAGGCATGTGTTGCTTTTTTTCTCCTTTATTTTAATATTTTAAGAGCTGGGATGGTAGTTTATGGAAGGATGTCTCCAAGCATTCCAGAAGCCCAGAGTTAAGTGCCTAGCATAACATAGAGTAAAACTTGCTGATAGCACAGTAAGTACCTAGTTTCTTTGGTTTTAGTTTTAACTTCTGCTTT